TGGTTTGGACACCCTCAAAAAGCTCTTGTGTGAGACAATGCAAGAAGTTTCAGAGAGAAGCGATTGGATTGTGAGAGTCTTAAGCAAATTAGTGAATTAATCCCTAATAGGATTAACTGATTGGTAACTAGAGGCAGGTGGGGTGTGGCTATGGAGTATGTATGAGGTATCTGGAGTAGGAGTCTCTCTCTGCTTCATGATCATTGTGACATGAGCTGCTTCCCTCTTCCACACTCTTCTGCCATGATGTTCTGTCTCACCTTTATCCCCAAGGAATGGAGCCAGCTATCTATGGACTAAGACCTCTGAAATGTGACTCCTCAAATAAACTTTTTCTCCCCTACAGTTGTGTTGGTCAGACCCGTTAGTCACAGCAGTGAAAAAACTGACTAAAACAACCAACATGTTTACCAGTAGGGAAATGCTTTACAAATAAAAGATGGAACATATGATGAAATGAAATACAGGTGAACCCAATGGAGAAAGGATGTGGAGAAAAATCCCTGATGCATTGTGAATTCAATAATAAAAAAGGCAAGTTCCAGAATGCAATTCAATTGAAATAGAAAATATAATCTCCAAGGTATCTGCTTTGCTTCTCTCCACTCTGGTTTCTTTTTCTTAAAAGGAATGTGTGTTTGGACTCAGGGCAGCCCCCTTAGGGGGACTGGCAGGGTTCATGGGATGAAATAGAAACATGTTGTGAGCACAGTGCAGGTGCAGAGAACCARTTCAGGATGTTTGGCAGCACCTCTTTTTCTCTCTCTCCTGGCTTTGTGATCTCGGATGTGTAACAAAATGTCTCTGACTCTTCGTCTAAAATGCCTCCCAAGGTACTTATGGGAACTGAATGGTTAATAGAAGGGAAGAGTCTGGCATAATACCCTGACAGATTTGATGCTTAATAAAATTTGCTGCTTTTCCTGACTCCTTCTCTCTCATTCTAGCCAGGTCGTCGTATTTATTCTCCATCCCCTTCTTTTTTTCCTCTTGGTGGACTGAGGAGAGTGTTTCTGGAGCTGGGGAGCTCCATGGTGGAGGCCTCAGAGGATGCTCAGAATCTAGGGATTCAGGCTAGCTTTAAACCAAAGCAAAGWATAAGCTCCTCTGGACCTGGYGCAATGAAGATACAGACACCAAGAATTCTGGGAAATTCAGAGATAGGGAGTGAAAGGATGGATGGGGCAGAGTGAAAGGCACTCCTGGTCCTTCTGGTCCAGCTCTTTCTCACACATAAATAAAAATGAAGAAGTCAAGGGAGCTGGAATAACAAAAGGTAGTAGACACACCCTGCAGGATGAGAGCAAGCTGGTCCCCCACCCAACTCCCCCACATGCAATCTCTGCCTGTGTTCCAGTTGAAATTTATTCTAAATATTATTTACTGTCCAAAGTGAGGAAGAAGATCCCCAAATTCAGAATCCTGGGCTTTGGGGCACAAAAACCAGTAGGAGTCCATCATGTACATGGCTCTTCCTATAGTCCCTCCCAGACCAACTCTTGAGGATTTAGTTCTTGCTGCTCTGAGTGACTTCCCACCTTGTAGTCATTGCTGCACAACGAGGCCACGAATCACAGACTCCAGACTTCCCACAGGTAACTGGGCTGGGGATGTGTTAGAGGAAACAGGGAGAGGGGGCTTTGGGTCTTATGTAGGAGAAAAGGGAAAGAATATGATGGGGGCAGTATGGGATTTAACAACCAAGTGTCCTGTCCCTGGATTCTAGATTGTATCATGCAGCCATAATCCCCAGTGACAGTTCCCATCTCTGGCCCAATTCCAGTTTGATCCTCAGCCCCAACTCCAGCCTCAGCCCCAAACYCAGCTCCTCCTGTAATGTCAACCTCGGCATCAACCCCAGATCCAACTTGAATCTCAACCCTGAGCCCAACCCCAAACTGAACCTCAGCCCTATTCTATTTCCAGGTTCAGTGCCAAGCTTAGGTCCAGTTCCATCCATGGCTCCAAGGTTACTTCTGATGCCAAATTCTGGCATGTGCCACAGCCTCAAGCCCAGTCCAATTATAGGCCCAGTCAAAGCAACAGATTTAGCTTCAACTTCACCTTCAATGTTACTCTCAACTCAACTTGATCCTGGCCCAAGGCCCAATCCTGACTCCATTTCTAACCCTAGTAGGAAATTAAGATCCATTTGATACTAGTCCCAAACTGGGGTCATTCTCAACTGGAATTACATCTTTCACCTCAACACTTGTCTTTCCAATAGCCCCACCCTGATTCCAGCCTATATTTTGGCCCAGGCTTCCCCACAACCTGAACCTCTCTCAGTTTCATCTCTCACAGCCTCAGGGCCTACATTGGTCCAAGCATGACAATGGAGTATGAAGATCTCCAGCACTTGGGGAGTGAGGAGAAAACCCAGGAGATTAGAAAAGGTAAGAGGACAGGAGAAGTGTCCTCTACTAAGATGCACTCTTCGTATGTCTAGCAGGATTTCTACTGTGGTATCACATCTCACCTCTACCATGTCCAATGTTGGGTCCCCCACTTTGAGGGGGTCAGTCCCAGKACTCTGAGAGCCCAATGTGAAGAGGACTCAAGATCTTCAGAAAAACAGGGACAGGGAAGACCTCTGTGGACCTGGTTTCCTGTGCTCTATGGGGAGGGGATGAGAGGTACCCATTGTAGGTAGTGGGTTTGGAAGAGAAACTTATTTATTTGCACACCTGGTCATGCAGATGAGGGTGAATCTCCTAATGGACTGGTCGGTCATGATGATACCTCCTCCAGCTCTGATGAGATCTCATATTTCTCTGTTATCCCTGTCTGTGTCTGGTTTCTAGGGTTGGGATCATGGGTATCTCAGAATATGAGAAGTCTATGTGACTGAAGACTTGGGCTGGTCATGAGGGGTCAAAGGCATGGGTAGTCTCCATCCCGCAATCTCTCTCCTCATTTCCCCAAGCATTACTAGGCCCAGCCTTCATCCCCAGACAGGTCCCTGGGCCCCCTCCTCTGTCTCTGGTATGTCCTAGATCTCCCTTTTCCTGATACCCTCTTCTCTTTCAGCACCTCCACCCCAGGATGGCCTCTGGCATATCTGCTCTGAGCCTCGCCTCATCCTGTTCTCCCTGGGCCATAGTCTCCTGCTGTTGGTGGTTGTCTGTGTCATCAGATCCCAAAGTGGGTACTCCAGGGGTACACAGGGAAGAGAGAAATCAAGGGTCTGTGGTGGGGCAGGGATGGGGGGTAATGGCAAGAACCCCAGCAGGACCAGCAATGGGCACAGTGGGGCAGTGTGGGGGCACCATTGAGGGGTCATAACTGGGTGGTTGATGAGAACAGTGGTGGGGACACAGGTAGGGATATTGAAGGAGCCATGATTGGAATGGCCACTGGCTATGTATTTATTAGTTGGGTTTTGTAGTTCAATTACTTCTCCTTCTTGTGTGATATTGGATAACCACAGTGCCTGCCCCTCTGGCTTGCTCTGAGGACTGAATGAGACAATGTGTGTAAAGTGTCCTGCTCTGTGCTGGTAGAGGGGACCTGATCAATCTTAGTTCTGATCATCTCATCCTCTTCATCAGATTCCAAATTACACAGGGACCTGGGCACCCTGAGGACAACTTTCAGCAATTTCAGTGTAGACACAGGGGCCAATGTCCAGGCACTGACCTCCCATGGTGAGCTGGGCTTGGGTGGGGTCTGGATTGGTGTATGTGTGTGTGGACTGACTCCTGATCTCAAGTCCCTGTTTCCTCCAGGTCAGAGCTTGCAAGAAAYCATAACCTCTCTGAGAGCTGAGGTGGAGGATCACAGGCAGGAACTGCTGGCAGGTGAGAGACCTTGTTCTCCAAAAGCATATGGAAGGGTGTGCATGAGAGAAGCATCCTGGTGCTGAGCCCTCTCCCCTCTAGCCCACAGCTTGAACCTGAAGGTGGTTTCTGTGGGGAGAGCAGCCTGCAGAAACGGGAGCAGGAATGCAAAGCTGGTCAGATGGCTCTTACAGTGCATTTGGGCATGGTATATTCATGGGAGAGCAGGAAGTTTCCGAGATTGGGCCCCGTGCAGGTGTCTTAGCCTGAGGTACTCCCTCAGCAGAGGCTGTGCCCAGAACACTGTCCCTCTCTCTTCTATGTGTGTGCCAGATCAATCTGAGATGTTTCTGTGAGTCCAGCAACTCCCAAAGTAACCAAAATTCTTAACTTCCCAACTGACCAATCTCAAGTGCAAAGGTGAGGAGGATTTGGGTGTGGCTGTCCCCATTTTCCTGCCGGTGGCCCTCTGGGCAGCTTCTCAACCTCTTCTTCTTTCTTCCCCTCAGCCTTTGAAAAGTCCTGCTGCCCCCTTAACTGGCTGGAGCATGAGGGCAGCTGCTAGTGGATCTCTCAATTTGGGATGTCCTGGAGGGAGGCTGACAAGTACTTCCAGCTGGAGAATGCCCACCTGGTGGTTATCAATTCTCGGGAGGATCAGGTAGAAGCCTCTTGTCTTTAGTTCCCAAGATATGTCTCATTTAGGGAAATGGTTAACAACCTTGACTATACATTGGAACCACCCCTGAGCCTTAGTAACTATTTCCATCTGAACCATGCCCTCAGAAATTTAATTGGCCTGAGCATTGGAATAAATATGTGAAATGCCTCAATGGACTTAATGCTTAAAGTTCAGTACCTAGTCTATGAAGTTGGCTTGGATGAGTAAAAATCACCACTGCCTTTCTCTCACCCCAGGATTTTTCCAGGGACTTAAAGCCTCCTCCTATACCTGAATAGGCCTTAGTGTCCTTGAAAGAGTCCAGAAATGGACAGACAGGACCAACTATGGCACCAACTTCAAGGGAGTACCCCCTGGTTTTCTGTGCCCCATGTCCTTAACCAGCTCTGCTCCTCAGGAATCTGACCTAGATGCCTTCTTCCCAGACCTGAATCCTGCTCCACCCATCCTTCCTGGCTTGCTATTGTCCTCTCCCCTCAGGAACTGGATGCCAAACCAGCCAGATGATTGGCATGGGCACAGGCTGGGTGGAGGCAAGGATTGTGCCAACTTACCTAGATGGCAAGTGGAATAACAATGTCTGCCAGAAACCCTACCCGTGGGTCTGTTAGGTCAACCTGAGCCAGGACAGCTAGGAGTTACTGAGATGCTTCCTTTAGACCACTAGGCCGTGGAAATGGCAGTGGAGAGGGCTTCTTCCCCAGAGACCCCTACCAAGACCTATCTGGGAGATGAATAGGCCCCAGGAGACTGGAAGCACTGTCATCCTGAATTTTTTCTCTTTAACCTTAAAAATACAATAAGAGTTCCTGAGGTTTCCTCCCCCAACTTTTAAAATCAATTTTATTGAGTAATAACTGTTTTACACAGCAAAATGTACCTATTTAAAGTGCAGAGATGACTTTTGACAAATAGAAACACCTAGTTAATAACTACTCCAATCAAGATGTAGAACATTTCCATCAGTCCCCAAAGTTTCCTCATTTCCCTTTGCAGTCTAACTGCCTCCTCTCCCCCAGGCAAGTAATAATTTGTTTTATTTCACTTTTGATTGGTTTTGTCTGTTTTAGAATTTCATATAAACAAAACCATATACTATATGCTATTTTTGAGAGACTTTATGTGTTTTGTGTTATCTGATTTTTAGCATCCTAAAAATGGCAGAACAGAGAAACTAAGTGAGGCCTTCGAAAGTCCTATATTATTGTAAAAGAGCATTTTCTTATATAGATTTGAATTCAYATCTTTTGTCACTTAAAAGCTGTGYAAACTTAGGATGATCAGGAGAGAGAATTGTTTAATTTCTCTGAAGATTCCAGAGTTGTTGAAAGTAGATAATATTTCTAGGTGTATCAGTCAGATATTGCTGTGTAACAAACCACCTCAAAGTTCAGTGCTGATACAATAAAATATTTATTATAGTTCATGAGTCTATAGGTTGGCTGGGTAGTCTTCTGGTATGATCAGGTTAGGCTCATCTTGGCTGAGCTTATTCATGTGTCTGGTCATTAAAGGATTGTTTGGATGAGGGTTGACTTGTCTGATATTTGGTTGGCTATGGGTTGGGACAATGGGSATGACTGGGCCTCATTGGGCTTGTCATTTAGTGGCTGGACAGAGTTCCAAGAGTGATTAGAAGAATGCAAGGACTCCAGAGTCTTAGGCTTTTAGAGCAAAAGYATCATTTCTGCTACATTCTATTGACCAAAGTAGATTGCAACTTAACTCCAATTCAAGGAATAGAAAAATATACTCCATCATTTCATAACACATCAAGGGAAGCATCAGTTATTAAGAACAAGTTCATAGTTCCTACCCTCTCTTAATTAATTTAGCTATCAATTGCTATATTACCTACACCCAGAAAATTGCCTGACATATAGGAGAGAATCAATCAGTGTTAATTAAAATCAAAGAGGATAAGGTCAGATGGAAGGTATGGGGAGGGCAGGATTTAGCTCTTAGTAGGTAGCATCCCTTCACCTCTCCCTCCTAATCAAAATCACCATGAAAACCACTGTGCTGATCTTGGCAGGAAGTCCTGGCAGGAAGTGCTCAAAGGAGATGCTAGGCTGGTGGGATCTAGAGAGCACAGTCCAGCATGTGAGGGATTCTGCAAGGAATAGCAGCTGGTTCTGTGGGCACCAAATATTGGAACCTAATAGGCCAAGCACACAAGGAACATGAATCCTCTGGTGGTCTCATGTCTCTCAAGGGTACCACATTAGCATCCAGTCAGTAATCTGGGATTGGAGTTGGGTTGAGGATTTGTAGAAAGAAGGAGGAATGTCAGGAAAGCTTCTCAGTCTGGAGAACTGATGTCATCAGAGGAACAAGGAGGAATTGACTCTCTGGGAGGAAATGCTGCTGTCCCTGTCAAGGTTGCACATGGACAGGCTCATTATCAGGGGCTCTCATTGATTCTCTTACATGGGCAGTGGTTGCTACTGAGTACAGCAAGGTACCCACCTTCAGAAAGACCATCACTGTGCCTGAGAGGAGCAAAAGAATTGTAGGTACCTAGAAGTCTGATATTTGGAAAAAAAACACCTCAGCTGAGTGATCCAAATATGACCTATTGAATATTTTAATTTTGTGTCTCTCTGCATGGCTCTGATTTTCAACCTTATGCATTGTATTTTTCCAAGTGAGTTTAAGATTTATGTAACTCACTGGATGTGATGGCATGCTTGTATAAACCCAGTGATTCAGGAGCTGATCAGGAGGTCACAAGTTTGAAGCCAGCCTCAGCAATTTAGCAAGGCCCTAAGCAACTTAGTAAGACCCTGTCTCAAAATTAAAAAAAAAAAACAGAGTTGGGAATGTGGCTTAATAGTTAAGTGCCCCCAGGTTCAATTTATTTCCACCAGTTTTTGCCAATGTTGTCTATCTATGTGCATAATAAGTATTGTTTTCTCAAGGTCCCTGAATCTGCCGAAGTTCCTGAATTCTCAGGAAATAGCCTTCCTTACACAGAACAGGTACCAGATCAGTTTTCTAGGATAGCTTTGTGAGTAGCTTGCTTCTTAAAAATGGACTTGAAATGCCTAACTAAATAAAACGTTTCTCAAACATGATGTTCCAGGAAATTCAAATAATTCTGTTGCACAACTAGGTTTTCAAACTATATCCTGGTAAAAAAGGAGGACATAATCTTATCAAATCTATGAAAACAGCTTCATTGTCATTTAAAGTATAGAGACTTAGGAGTATTTTCCCCTGAATTAACAAGAACATAAGTGTTTAAAGAATATTTTACTAAATTAAATACTACAACCTGATTAAGAGGAAAGAGAAATGGCTATATTATAAAACTACAAAAATAAAATACTAAAATAATACCAATTATATTTAAATGAATGAGGAAAGGCTCCTCTTCAAGTCCTCCAATGAGAATCATTTTGCACCTTTATTTCCCTCATTATCTTATGCAATCCTACTTAATTTATTTTTGTTCTGCTGGATGTTGGGTTAATATTCAGGTTTCATGAAGTCCTTTTGCTATGGACTAGAATAGTACTAGAAATCCTGAATCACTCTGCTAATTGAACWGACTATTGTCCAATCAATATCTACTTAGGAGCCCATCCTTGTGGGTTGGTTCCTTGAAGTAACTGTATAGAGAAAGAGGAACGAGGAAAGGGAGAAGAGGAGGAAAGAGGAGGTACTGGGGACTTCAATGGAACAAAATATATTCCACTCATGTATGCTTATGTCAAGACGAACCTCACTGTAATGTATAACTGTAGTGYACTAWTAAAACATAAAAAATATTTAGTGTCATTCATGAGGCTTTGAGCCTGCCCCTCTTTGATGAAGATACTCTTTTTTTTTTAAAGCCATATGCCTTATGGCAAGCTCTTTAGGCAAATATCAGAGGGAAACAGATGCTACATGTAAGGTTGAATAGCTACTGTGGATTTATTACCTTAACCAGCAATGTCATAATGGAGGAGAGTAGCTTATCCAYTGAAGTGTAATACAGAACTATTTTAGGAGAATTTGATTGCTGTTTCCCAAAGAGTAAGAACATTTTATGACCATTGAAGGCACTGACAAATCTCCAGTGTTTTCCAATCTATCATGTGGCATATGTGATCTCTGAAATAATTTTAAATGATTTGGATTTTGCTAACATGTAATTAGCCTAGGGATGGATGAATTCCTTTTGCTCAGACAGCTCTTATCATGAAGCTCTTAAAATAGCACTGAGAAACTTAAGAACAAGGAACACAGTAAACAAAACTCTTTTTAAAGCACCCTTCTTTCTTTAAAGTAAAAGAAAAAATATTTTTGCTTGTCCAGTGGTCTTCTGAGAGAATCCATAAAAGACATCTTTGAATTTTTATTTTTCTGAATTTAGGGCCTGATTTGGGGAGAGAAAAGTTTAAAAATTTATCTGAGAAAATCAATCATTTGAGTTCTTTTTATTTTGGTACTGAGGATTGAACTCAGCAGGACTCAACCACTGAGCCACAACCCCAGCCCTATTTTATATTTTAGAGATAGGGTCTCACTGAGTTGCTTAGCACCTCGCTTTTGCTGAGTCTGGCTTTGAACTCGTGATCCTCCTGCCTCTGCCTTCTGAGCTGCTGGGATTACAGGTGTGTGCGACCATGCCTGGCGTGATCATTGGGTTAGGATGAAGCATGAATGCATGGATGCCTGGTGTAATTGGTATATAGTGTTGACAGTGCAAAAAGAATAAACAATGAAGGAAGTAATACAGTTGTAAGGAACATTGATGCATTCATCARCAAGTATTTTTTGCTTATTTAATATTTGAGGGCATAACCAATTCAACAGAAAGCACAGAACATTATTATGATGAGGTCCAGAATTTCTGATAATTGTGAAGACTATCTAGAAGATAAAGAAGAATTTTTGCAACTTCTTTTTCAGAGCAGGCTGAACACTCCAAGATCAATGTGTTATTTAACAGAGAGAAAACAATTCTAGTCTTGCATTAATGTAATATATTAACACCGGAAAGGATTTGCATACTTTAAAACATTATGAATAAACTCATCAAAATTAAACTAATGTTGCCAGAGTTTTAACAAATTTCATTGCTTCTTTTCAGTGCRTCATTTGCAGACATTAGTCCAAGGG